TTTCTTTATTAGATTTAAACGAGAATTTGACTTTTAAGAGGACACAATGGAGAAAAATGATTCATTTAGCCGACCCCACATAGTGGGATAAAGGCTTGATGTTGTTGTTGTTGTAATGATGCGAGCATAATTGATGAATTGTTAAATATCATTTAAGGGTCTGTTTGGGACGATTGCAGCTTTTTATAGTGATGGTTGGAAAACTATGATGCACCTTGGAAGCAAAAACATAAAAATAGAGAAGAAGAAATGCAGGATCACAAATATAAGGGTTGATTTTTTATTACTCCTTCAACTAATAATGAAATATATAGTTGATCTATTATTCGAGAGATAGATTGAATATACCACAAATCCTAGTCACCACTAGGAAACTCACACCAACAAGATGAAAATAAACTCAGCATGCATACCATCAAAATCCTAAACAAAATTTCTCCTTAAATAGCCCTAATACACAATTAAAATATTCCTAAAATATTAAAACCTCCCACAATTAAAACCTTCCACAATAAAAACATTCCTAAAATATTAAAACTTTCCAGAATTAAAGCTTTCCTAAATTAAAACCTTTCTAAATACCTACCCTTAATTCCTTACATAATGAATAATAGCTCCTCCGGCTTGGCTGTGGGCCCCTGGCATATTAATACTCCTCTCCCCTCAGAGACACACCTTTTTCTCATGGTGGAAGGATGAGAACTATCTTTTGATCATCTTTTTGAACAACAAAATCTGCTTCTTGTCGAGAATCACTTAGCTCATGATCAAGTTCTATATCTTTCATTATATGCTCGTGCTCCATTCTAGAGAATATGTCATCTTTCAACAATTTAACATATTTGCTAATGCCTTCACTTTTTATTACATCTGATCTTGTGATTCTATTTGACTTCTATGCTTTGACTTCTCTTGTTTCATCATCCACATTGGTACCATAAACAACTCCTTGCTTTAGAAGTCCTTCAGAATCGGCTATTGCTTTTTAAAGCACCTTAACCTTTGCACACAGCTTTTTTAGCTCCAATATTCTAGTTGATGCTCTTAGACTTCTTGAGCTGTGATGCTTGCCTCATACTTGACTGAAATATTTGGTCTGTTTCCTCTTACTTTTCAGAATGTGAAGTTTTATCAATGAAATTTTGTACCTCTAGAAACGCAATCTTATTTTCCAAATAAGCAAAAAGGGGAACGTAAACATTTAATTTTGCCTTTAGCCCCTTATTTCTTTTACGAACACTTCAACTCTTTCTTTTAAATCTTCTTTTTGAGCATTTCTGCAAACAATTTCTTCAACTAGAAACTTCATTTGCACAATATCACCTGTCCCAAGGCCCTTAAGTATCTGCATCAACTCAAAGAACTCCTTAAATATCATTTCCATGAATGATGAAACATGAATATCATGTACTAACTTCGCAGCTTTTGTTTTGTTGGATTGCATTCGTCAATTGATACGTAGACTTTAGATGCCATGTTTGTTTTCTGGGTTTTGTGTGCTTCCACTCCATGCAATTTATAAAATTCCTCTTCCAACGTTTGATTGGGTTTTTGAAAGCACAAAATCTCATAATCTTTGCAGAAATTTTCTTCTTCTAATGATGAAAACAAGTTATTCTCTAATCCATTTTTAACCAACTTGGTCCTATTGATCACCTGCACACAACCATCAGGAGCTAGAGGCAGTTCTGAGTTTTGGATGCCTTGAAACTTGCTTGAATTGGACAGCTCCATGTATCTTTGCTCTAAAAGTTTCCCGCCCATCTCTGTATCTATGTTGAGTTTTTTCAAGGAATTTCTTGTTTGCTGGATTTTATTTTCAAAAGTACTATGTGGGTTCGGCGCTCTTTATGATGCATGTTTTTAGCTTCAAGAGCTCTCATGCATTCATTAATTGCTCTGATCTCCTGGCCTATATCATTTGTGATCCTATAAAGATTGTTCACATCACCAATTAACTACTTTATATGAGAAGATTTTTTTTAGCAATGCAACTCCTGAAAATTATGAGAGGAGCTCCTTAGCAATTGCTTCATTAAGGATATCATCATTTTCCTCTTCAGATGCTTCATTTTGTTCACTTAAATCATACAATTTCTTTGGCAATGATTCATTTTCCTTGAGCAACTTCAAGATTTCACTCTGAGATTTTAAATATGCTTCTTGTAAATCTTATAATCTGCCACACATTCTATCCAATCCTACATTTAACATTTTGTCTCGCTGTTTGCCCGCATTAATATCCTTTTGTTACAGTTTATTTATCTCCATTAGTTCGTAATTTTTTCTTTGGGGGTTAAAAATTCTTGATTTCTTAAAAT